AGAAGAAGTTTGTTCTTATGAGATTTGTTTTAAGACCATGATATGTCTATCCAACCAGCATCATATCCGTCAATTTACCAATGCTACTTATGAAGCTTATGATGTAGTCCACATTCATTTTAAAAGTCTACCAGCTTTTTATGACATTTTAATATGGTATTGAAATGTGGGATTTTCCCTGCCCAAAAAACTGTCAAATGTAGCTTAGCTTAGAAACCCCAAGCACACGCGCAGCTGTAGGTTGGGTCCAAGATTATCCGAAATTAAAAATATTAAAAAAGCCCCAAAAGATGCCCCTTTTCATGTCTAAAATGTAGAGACGTGATTGGTTATCAAATGCGTACAAAGAACAATGTTGTTGTGCCCATGTTCTATGAAATCTGTTGGAATTGATCCGGGCATCAAAAATCATACTAATGAAGTAGTTATTGTTTTCTTACCGAATGTGGTTTTTGCAGACAGCCGAAAAGAAGCTCATTCACAAGCCGATATTCTGGCCTGACATAAAAGGAGCTCGCTCAAAAGCGGGCATCCTGACGCGACTGGCATATTTTGGTATCATGCTGCGCGATGATCAGTATTACAACCGCACCTAAGTAATCATTTTTAGTAAACAAATATTTCGGAATTTCGGTCACTATCTCAAAAAAATCAACCTGCTACTGTATGCACACAAAGCTACTCATCGAAGTGCCTTGAACTGCTGTCTAAAATGGTCCCTTATTTGGATAAGTGCATAGCAGCCCAACTGGAAGTTAAGGAATGTGGTAGAACTTGTCAGTAAACGCATTATATATTGTATTCCGATGGTGTGGCATGCACGAACAGGATTTCCGCCGCCTGTAATGCGAAATGTCTTTTGCACCCAAATCGTCTGTTCTTCAAAATTGCGATTCTTTCGCCCCAGTCGTCTTCTGGATTTCGTTTTGTCTCTCAACACTGTTTTTGATAGGAAAAAAAAACTGCGTTATTACTGGTAACGTTTCTGAAAAAAAAGTGGAAGTGAAACTGTCCGTATTTCGTACAAACAAGGGCAGTTCGTGAGGACTTCCGAAGAGTTGTTAAGCGGTTGTAGCAGACTCTATCTCTCTCTCTTGTTTGTTTGCCGTCAGAGCAACCAAAACTGGTTGTTTTATTTCCATTGTTTAGGTGTCAGTGTAGTTTTTTTTCACCCTACTTCACTACCACACTTATCCTCCCTTTACAGCAAGAGGTCCGTTATAACCTCATGGCTGTTGTGCCCGATCGACGTATCGCCCTGAACGACCGCATAGGCAGTCTGCGGAAGAATAGACTCATTGTGACTCGCAGCATTCGTCAGCGAGCTGAAGTGACGGCGACACTCGCTACTCCCCAAGCCCCACCCTCGGACTATAAACAAGAACGACCCGAGGCCAGCACCACCCTGTGCGATGGCATGATAAAGGAGGAGGAGGAGGGCGCGGAGGAGGTGATGGTGGTGGTGGAAAACGAACAGCATGCAGGCGGTGATGGAGCCGAGGGACTGGAAAAAGAAGCCACTCCGTCAACGCCCAGTCACCACCCTCCGAACTCCCAAATCCTTAAACCGTTGGCCGTCCGTCGTCTCCTCAGTGACAACGGGATGACTCAGGGTTTGGAATTACAGTAGGTTACTTCCCCCCTTCGTTTTTGTTTTTTTTACTCGCCATCACAATTTCCTTCCTTCGAGATGGTTATCGTTGCGGGTTTTCTGCGCAAATACTTACCCGCCTTCCTTGACAGTTCGAAAGTTAGGTCTAGAGACTCCCTCACATCCACATGATATTGGGCTTGTTCGCCGCCCTGGTTTAGGACCAGACTTTACCCTGGGCTGTTTAAGTTGAATTCGATTTCTCTTATATGTTATTAACTGCCAAGTATTCCGCTTAACCAACGTAACTATTTCTCATAACGGCTGTTTACGTCGAATTCCAGATGGCCTCATAGTTATATTGCTTTATTACTGGACCGCTTACTCACTAACGCTTTATAGGGTAACAATACCTTGGCGCATAAGCACACACGGATCAGCTTTGGTGGTCTACAGTCAGTAGTGTCGCGGTTACATGAGATCGCTATGTCGGTTGGCATATCCATAAATTGCGGAAAGACGAAGTTGTTCTGCATCCCCGACCAGAAGGCGCCCCTGGAGATTAATGGCCGTCAACTTGAAGAAGTAGACAGCTTTAAATACC